TATTGAATGAGGTTGAGCACGATAATACGATATGAAGAATTATCAAGCCCGAAGTTTGCCGTTATCAACCGAAGCCGAAAGCCGAGGTTGATAACGGCAAACTAAGGGCTTGATAATTCTTCATATTGTGCGAAAACCGAATTCAATAATTGTTTTATTATTTATTTAAAAAATCCAAAACAAACATTTGTATTTTATTTGTATTAAGAAAAAAACAATTCCTTAGTCCTTCGGCAGCCGTCGTCATCATCATATCAATGGCGTCAGCGAGTCAATATGATTCTCGTCGTCATAGTAATATGGCGCAAACGCGTCCAAATTTTTCTCATATTGACTCTTTGACGTTATTTTGCTAATATGAATGTGAAAAATCCATTGGTTAGAGTTGATATGACAATTTCACAGTTAGCTGTTAGCCAATCAGAAACCAGGAATTTTTTAAATAAATAATAATTTTATTTATCGGGCAAAATTCCAAAATTTGTTAATTCCAAAATTTGTTTGGCAAGTGGTATGACTTTGTCTTTACCATGCTTCGGACCAAATTACCAGTGTTTGAAATAATGTAGATTTTTTATTGTTTTTGTAATTTGCAAAATATTCATACTTTAGTAAGCACTGTAATAAATTGCAGTTAAAAATTTTGCCAACCTTGTCATAATAATAAACAAAGTAGACTCGCATATGCACGCCTGAGCCACAGAATAAAGACACACAAAAGGTCAACTCAGCCAACCACTGCCACGTCATGATTCACAGTGATTCATCATCAAAATGTTGATGCCATGGTCCTAGCCAGTGCGCTTATGCAAGGCGTTCACGCCCTGGACGTCCGCCATTTTAAATATTATCAAGGGGGTTATTGTTAAGGGACCGGTCATTATTTATGGAAGGGGGAGGGGAATTTTTCTTTTCTAAATTTTCTAAATTGAAAGCCCCCCTCTCTTAAAAGAGCAGAAATTTAATGATGACCCCCCCCCCTGCATATTAGAATACTTTTCTTTGACCCCCCCCTTATTTTCATTTTTACTTGTCAAATGGGGATACCCAGGCGTTATAGTGTTAATTATTATTAAATAAGAATATGGAACTGGCAAGATATTAACGTTGACCAAAAATATATATTAGCAGAAAATAAAATCAGGTTTCCATTTGGTCTGGGCGATTGTATAACCATGTTTAAGCCGGCAACTAGACTTGATGGTACGAAGTATTGCCATAGCAGCTGTGCAGCAACAATGAAAGTAACAATCAGTAATTATTAGCAGCAAAAGGAGATAGCAATGACAATTCTGCCAAGGCATACCTATGAAATACAATGTATAGTGGTCTATACATTCTATTTTATGTGAGATTAAAAATGATATAAAATAAAATGACATATACTACAGGATAAAATCCTTTAGAATGAACATGTGTGGGTGGGTGGGGAAAAGGTATCGAAGCGCTTAAAACTTGCTGCAGCTAGGCAAAGCATACAATGGCAGAATGAATACCAGGACCAAAGCACTGATCACAAGGCATGAAACAACCCCCTTTGATCGATATGCCGTCCTCCCCTCAGCGGATGTGGCCTGCATAATACATCCACCATTAACCTAGCTTGCTTAATTTAAATGTATTTAACCACATCAAGAGCTGATGTAATAATACATCAATTGTCAATTTAACTCTGCAATCCGTAACGACTGATTTGCATACAGCACACACAAGGCAAGATAAACACAGACTATTTCACATCAGTGACCATGATTTAGTTACAACATTTACAACCAAATGGATACCAAGTTATTAAGCAAATTCCTTCAAATTTAATTGCAACACCCCCCCATTTTCTTGAAAAAAATTAATAGCCCCCCCTTCTAGTAATTTATTTATACATATGCCCCCCCCCCTTAATTTTCCATCCCCCTTCCATAAATAATGACCGCAGGACATTTTACTGGGGTGCAGCCATGGCCAGGTGGGGTGCAGGGGGGGGTGCTATTTTTCATGATAAAGCAAAAAATTATTAGAGACAAAATGAGATTCAGTAATTTGAGCAATAACATGATGATATTACTGTCGTTCCAATTGAAGTGTTCCTCAAATATTGATTCAATACATTACCTCAGGCTGACCAATTCATTTCATCAAGTTCCTCGAAATATTCATACACTTTCTAGTATAATTGTAAACTTCCTGTTGAATAGTTTGAATGCATGTGTATGAATATACACTTCCTGTGAAAGAGCCAATTCCAAGTATTTGATCATTTCTGGTCACTTCCTTTCTATTTATGATTGGTTAGTTGCACAAACAACAAAGGTGATTGGTGCATTCAAACTATTCAACAGGAAGTTTACAATTATACTAGAAAGTGTATGAATATTTCGAGGAACTTGATGAAATGAATTGGTCAGCCCGAGGTAATGTATTGAATCAATATTTGAGCAACACTTCAATTGGAACGACAGTAAAGCGAACTGTGAACAACAATTACAATTCAAATACTGTAGTCAAGCAAGACTTTGCAGAAGTGGAACAGGTTGGGGAGGTTTCTGGAAAATTTTTTGGGAAAAAATTTTTAAATAGGGCTCCCAAAAAAATTTGCACTCCCCCCCTACCAGATCATGCTGGATCCATCCCTGATGACCGATCCCTAATGCCTCTCATAAGGGTCAGCCAGAGAGCGTCAGCATAAAGCTCTGAAGATTTTCTGTGATTGGTTGATTGTGACAATGACAAAAGAATAAGCTATAGAAAGGATTTTCTAAATAACGAAGCAAGAACAATATTCCTTTTATTTATGTAAGCCAATTACGTCTTTTGTCATTGTCATAATCAACCAGTCACAGAACATCTTCCTAGAGCTTCGTGTTTACTGTTTACTAAGCACACTGGCTAGGACCATGGCGTCAGCATTTTGATGACAAATTACAGTTATGCCAAAATCATAGGAAAAACCAAAAAGTCAACCTTCTGTTTTGTCTCTATTCCGTGGCCGAGCAAAAAAGATTTCCACGAGCGAGCTTTCAAAACTTTTCCAAGCTATGAGACAACATGAGACAAATACCACGCATTTTTGAGATGCCTATATATGATGACGTTGACAAACGTAAGTTTCATAAATTTCAACAAAGGAAATTCTTTCAGAGATTTATTACCTTTCTGATTACAAACTTGTCATCTGCAGCTAATTTGTAAAATCCAGAAAATATTGCGGTTGACTGGTAAAGCCCATTTTCCACTAGGCAGATTTGTTCACGCGAACAAATTCGTCCAACGGAATATGGGCTAAAATTCATGTATTTGTTTGGAATTTTCCCAATCAAGGCGATCGCTCATTTTGAAATTGTGTTTATGTGTGTTTAAAATTTTATATGTGTTTTATATTCGAATATACCAACAGCTACAATACTACCTATTATTTTTCATTGGATTTTAGAGAACTGTGCAGTGTGTAGTAGGAAATAAGTAAGCATTTCAAAAGGCAATTATACCACATCGAAACGTTCACTGCTGTGGATCAATCAAAAATATTATCCTCATTAGGAACTCATTTGGAAGGTTTTAACTGGACGATATGAAAGAACAGGCCCTAGTCGACTTTATAACAAAATAAAACTCTTACCTTTTTGTTTACACACGCTGATATTCTGCTTTCAACTTCTGCATTCGTCAATCTTTCAACATGGTTTCAATTAGAGACCTTTAGATAGATGTTTACGGCAAACGTCAAACCGCTATTAACGAAGTGTTTGATACTGATTAATAATACAACTCTATTATAACAGCTTTTACACCATCCAGTTTTGAAATATATTAAACAATTATTAATTAACCACTAGTCACGTATTCACCAAATAAATGACCAAAGCACAAACACAGAGGAGAGATGTTGAAGTTGAAGTTGACGTTTGGCGTATAAATTTTATGCTTGAATTGCTACAAGCCCGCAAATCGCAGGCTTCGGCACTGAGCTATATACTGTATCTGCAGTCACGAATAGCTAGCATTCTACAATAAGCTGTCGTGATTTGTGTCTGAACCATAGATATAATAAATAGACTAGATAGTGCATCCCGCTGGGCAGGCGGGAATTTTTGAAGCCTGATCGTGGTCGCAGCATCACCACTGGCGGCCATATTGGATCTTCCCAGGAGCGAGGAAATTTGTATGTTTTATTATGGCGAAATTAACAACTCTGCAAGTATATTCATATTTGGAACGACGAGTTTGATGTTTTGAGCAGGGAAAGTTGTTGTGGAGTATCGCGAATTGTAAGGGAACATAAAAAATAGAAAGGGTAAGTACAAATCATATATATTTCCCAAAAATAATACTTACGTTATGTATCCAGGAGTGGCCAGATAGCAATATTTTTAAACTAAAAGTTTCTCGTATGCATTTTCGATAAGATTTGTCCCCATTACTGTACGTATAGCTTTTTATACGTATTAGTATTACACAAAGCGAAATCTTGTAGTAATCCGTATAATTCATAGATATCTCTGTGGTATGATTAGCCAGATTAGGGATGAAAACTCGTATCTCAATTGACACAATAGCCACTTTCAAGGACAAATGTGCTAGTTTCGTCCATAGATATAATAGTTTCGACATGTCCATGCCGAGGTCCATGCATGATTTTGATTTTCTTGCATATTTTCTATACATGTTTGTATTGGGCTGGAAATATATTTTGTGTTATTTTACTGCAATTATATTTTATTGACAGTACTTACATTGTCTTCTATAGTGTCTTGGTAGGCAAGCCAGTATTATTAACATTTAGTTGAAGCAAGAATGGAATCAAGATAAAGGCCTTTAAAGGATTATACATAATTATAGTATCACTGTGTTTATT